CTCCTACAGAGCATTGCAGAATACGTTTCCCTGGAGGTGTCTGAAGTAAGGCTAGAAAAATCCTACCTGATCTTTAATAATCCCTCACACGCATGGTAATGCTTCAGAATTGTACTACCATTGTATAATTTACACTTCAATCCTTTCGTCTCTGTGCTCCCGCCCTCACACACAAAAAAAATCCTTTGGTGTTATAGGGAGCCAATGATTGCGAACTTGGAATACCTTGGCCTTGTTGCTGATGTAGACTCACCTGCTTTTATTGATTTATTATGTTGTGGTGGGTTTTCTTTTTCCAGGGAGTAGGACTGAAAAATGCATTTCTCCTACTGTAGTTAATAGATTCAGGAAGTAATTTGCAGATCAGGAAACAATGGATATAATAAAAGCACTGGCTAGGTAATTCATAAGGAAGATAAACTTACATTGTTAAGCTTGCACGTTCTATTCTTGTAGGCCGTATATTGCCCTCCTGTGCTTTCCACCATTAAGCAATAATGCTGTTGCATTAGTGGAAAAGCACTGCTGCTTTGACTGGCTTTCATAACCATGCACAAAATCAAATAATGTGCTTTACTGAGTTACGAAGAGCTGTGTTATTTGTTTATAACCACTCACTTAGTTATTGCTCTCTGTGCTGCATGTTACAATTTAATCACTGCTCTGCATCTCTTGAGCTCATGCAGGCTGGCGTGGAGCAGCAAGGGGACAAAGCACAATGACTGGCAGCCAAATGTTTCCATCAGTCAAGACGCTGATTTATTTCTTTGAGGAGGAGTGTAAAGGAAATGAGAATGGCTGTTTTTGTAACTGAGGCACTGAATAGTCATCAGTTAAGCTGCGGAGGTCATCTATAAGAGTTGAAATAGTTCTTGAGGAAGATAAAAACACTGGAGCGTGTCTTGTCTGCACAGCATGCAGCCTTTGTGAAGCTTGGGATGTCCGACGTGTCCTGTAAGGGCAGCATAAAGGATAAGTCTGGAATCTGTTTAGCTACAGGGTTTTCGTTGCGAAAGAAGTTATATGAGGAATTCAGATGCAGCGTGTTAGGAATTCTTCGTCCCCTACCCAGCTAATATATGCAGCTGCAAAGTTTTTAGCTGTGTTCAGGGTGATTTATGTGCTGATATTGCAGAATGTTTAAAGTTGAATGCTCCTTGGCTAACAAATAAATCCTGTTTGGAATAGGGCAGGTAGTGTGAATGTCTGTGGGAAGTGATTGATTTTGGAATACAAATTATACGTTCTAGAGCAAAAATGAGAGTGAAAACATTAGTTGAATATTATATAAAAATATTCATGCGCGTGTCTGAAATAGATACATTCAAGTTTTTGTGGCCAATTTTGACATAATAGAAATCACATAATTATACATTTCTTCTCTATTTTTGCCCTAGGCTTAACTTTGTCCTTTCATAACAATTTTTTTTCACTTACCTCAAAATTTTAATCTGAAAAATGTCCTTTTTTTGCAGTCAAAGCGATATTCTGTAGCAAACTTGACAGCATTAGATGGTATTTTTAGGGCATCTTTTGCCCAATTCTGTATTCCATCTGAATGCATATAGAATGAGAAAAAGCAAGGGGGAGCATAGAATGTTAGATCTTTGTAAGCCTGTAAATCTCTGGAGACCACTGAAAATCTGTGCTCAACTGGAAGATCTCCTACCTATCAAGAGATGGCTTAGGGAGGTATTCCCTAGAAAGCCTACCTTGTATTTCATGTTCTTTTTCTAACCGAAATCTTGAAGTTTTCAAACAATTTCATTAAATGTAGTCACATTTTCCTCAGACTTAAGTGCATACATTAAAATAAAAACGATCTACTTGCAGTAAAGCTTTTGGTGCTGACAGCAGAGAAACTTCTTGACCTCCAGGGAAACTGTACGGCTGAAATTGCTATGGTGGGGAGAGGCTAGGCAATGAGCCTGCTGCTCAGAGCAGGAATGTTCCAACTTGCTGCTGGATGCACGCTAAGAAAGTTGTCTGTGGTATGAGATGATGTGTCTGTGGTATGAGGTGATGAGCATGGCTTTTGTTGCAGTGGTTGGCTGGAAAATCCTTGTGATGCGGATTTCTGGGTGATTTAGGCATGTTGCTGCATCCAGATCAACTGATGTTTATTTTGATGGCATTCATTAAGGCACGTCTTCAGTCTGTTTGTGTCTTTTTTTTCTCAAGAGCTTTGCAAACTCTGTTGGTGGATGTTTGCTTGTGGTAATCCTGGAAAAAGAAGGAAGGAAGAGTGCTCTGGGCAGGCAGCAGAGCTCCTGCAGCATTTCTTTTCCCTTCTGCCCTTTTTCTGAGCTGACAGTCCATTTAGTCTGAATACGGATTTGTTCTTAATGTGTTGAACTGTGTTATTTAGCCCACTGCTGCAAGCCAAATTGTTATCCCCAGGGATAAAATTGCTAACTTGATTTAACAGGGCTTTGTTAGTCTGGAAATTCATTTCTATCTTCTCCTGGATCTTTCCACTACAGGTTCTTTGTGTTTATTAAGTATGATTTTTGACAAAAAGACACAAATATACACTAATAGCAACTATTTAGCTGGCTCTTCTTTGCCCAGGAGAAAGCTGTCGAGAAGAACCTTGTCTTATAAGAAGCAGTTAGGACCTGCATTAAGCCCTGCAGTGCCTGTGTTTGCACTGCATCGATCCCTTCGAAGTGAGACGCTGAAGGAGCAGCTCTCTATTAGCACCTTGGCTGCAAGTAATTGCTGAAATGTGGAACAGAATATCTGAGTGTTTTATTCGTAATCTGCTTTGTGGCTGCATTCCTCGCTGCTGCACGTTTTGAATACTGTTTTCTAGAGCAACCACTTGAATACACAACCGAGCACTGGCTAAAAGGATCTGCAGTGGTTAAAACCACTGGCCAAGGGAAACGTCAGAACAGTCCCTGAAAGATTATGCGCAAGGATTATATGAAAGAGAGGATTTGCAAGTCTGGAATGTGCTTTTCCTACAGTATCTATTTCCATTTTCTTTCAATTCTTGGTTAGTTCACATTTTGTTCTAATCTCAGAGATAGAGATCAGATTTGAGATTTGCAGTCTGTAAAGCTTGAAGTGATTCTTGACGGTGTCTGGAGTATTTGCAAGGTTTTAGCAGCTGATGAAATGCAGATGAGTACATAAAACAAGTAGTAGCATTTATAATTTATATTGCAGAGCCATTCCCCAGAATTATAGAAGAGGATTGAGCCCCTCCATTTCCTTCAGTTTTCCCCAGTGGTGCTAAGCAGTGTATGAAATAGGAAAACAGATCCTTGTTACAGAATGCTTAATAAAAGTGACAACAGATGTTTTCAGATGTGGAAATATCAGAACAGTAGGAGCTCTTTGGTTATCAGCTGGTCGGTGGTGTCCATACTCCAATGTTGATATCTTCCATTTCTTTCTCCTTTTTTAGATCTCACCATGAAAGATGTATTTCAGATGAAACTTTAGCAGCAAAGAATCACTTCTGTAGGGATGTCTGGCACTGCTGTCAGAGGGCAGCCCAGCAACCTTCTCATGAAGGCTCTTGTTGGAAGGAAGGGGTGTTGCTGTAGATAGCAAGAGTCAAAAAGTTTTGTAAGCACAAGTCATACAGATGCTTTAAGAATATGATGTGATAAAATGGTTAATCCTGACATTCTCCCACATTAACAAGAGATCTGATGGAAGGCGTCTCTAAACTGGCTGTTGAAGTTGAATTTGGGGTGGATTAGGAATGGAGGGAAGCTGAGATCTACGTTAAGGAAAACATGACTGCTGTGGTGAAAGGACACGAGGTAGTCTGACCTATGTTGCCGTGTTTGCCCATAGTTCATCTGCTTCTTTTCTGTTAATTTCAAAGGATGACTTTCTAGTCATGAGCTCAGTGGATCCGTTCAGTGTTTGTGTTTGCAAATGATCATTGTGTCACGACAGTTGCAGCATTAAATAAATAAATACAGCCGATATATTACGTGCCTTGCCTTTGAGTACTAAATTGGTTGCAATTACCTGCATAAAAAGAGTTGTTTTATTAATTAATTGACTTGGAGAAAAAAAGGCTGGTGACCCTCTGAAGGAATATCAATAACTGAAACATTAATTATGCAAACAAGGACTCTCTTTACACTTCATTATTCATGGCTTAATGTGAAAATTGCCTTTTAAGAGAATGCTTTATTTGTATATTTCCATGTGTTTGATTTGCCTGGATGTAGGCTTTGGGACGCAGCCTTCGTCCCCTCACAAAGCTCACTGAGTTTTGCTGATGCAATTACTGTGATGAAGGAGGGGGAGAAAGGAGCAGGAAGGCATTTGGGGAGGTTTGGGAGATTTTGTTGTGTTGCAGGTGATTTCTACAGGCTGGGAATGCTTTCCCCACAGAGGGCTCTGCCTGCCTCCTTGCGAAGTTTCTGAGAGCATTGGCAAGTTCCGATTAAGGATTCCTGTTGCATTTTATTCCTTCTCATATCCCTTAGGACAAGCAGTCAAAAGTTGCCAGGGCTCCTTCTCACTCAGGTGTCCAACATTAACATGCCTGCAAGAGGACAGGGAGGAAGAGCTGCCCTTTCTTTGCCAGCAGCTGAAAGGCTGTGCTGCGAGTAATCGTCTTTCAGTTTTCAATATGCATACGAAAAGTAGTAGCTCCGCAGTGCCAGAAAATCCTTCACTCCCCAAAGATTCAATCGTACCTTTTTTGTAAGTATAAGGCTTTAAGATATCCCCTTTTTAGTGCCTTGGAACTCGCTATGCCCACAGCAGGAAGGCCTGATGAAGAAATACATCCCCCCCTTGCCTTGTAGCGTGATGAATTGTGGAAGTCCTGATTGAAAATTCTAATCACAGCCTTGCAGTCCTTCAGATCACAACCCTTGACAGTTGATTCACTCCTTTTCATGCCTGCTGCCTCTCGCTGCTTCTGGTGCCTCTTATGCATGAGTCTATCATTAGCGCACAAAGCATGATGGATTGGTTGGGGTACCTCTATCCTTAGAACCTGGGAAATGCTTCTCTTTCAGAATCAAAGAACCTGTGTGTGACATCGTCATGAATGAGAGAAGAAAGTAATACAGTATTGGATGTGCCTGTTTGCTGCCACTATTTAGAGAGAAAATGATGCATTATGGGGAATGTAAGTATATGGCCTGTTGTGTTTTTTTTCCTCTCTCCTGGCAAACGATGCAGAAAATCGTGGATCTTAATGTGTAAGCTGAGTCTGGCAAATGCACTGAAGTTGTAATGCTTCTCTGAAATGGGAACTGTAAACACGAAATTTTACTTAAAAATCAGCCTTTTCATGAAGCATTGGAACTCTTGGTGTGAAATGGTTAGGAATAATTGGCTTTGATACTGGCCAAGGCCTCGCGTCGTTTTTGTGGGTTCTTTTCCAGAGATGCTTTCGACAGGAAACTTCTGCAAATATTTGCATCTGCAAATGCAGAAGTTCAATTTGCAAATGCTTTTATTTGTCTATGTGACTTGGCATTTAATGATTCAGTGAACAAGACAGTTAAGTTTTGGCTCCAGCGAGAGATTGATAGGAACAATTTTCAAATGTGGTATCAAAACAAAGTGAAAATATGTCATGTTCAAATATAGAGCTCTGATGCGTCATGTGGTCCTCTAATAAATGAAGTAGCTCTACAAAACTGACAGATCTGCGAGAGAATGTTTTTAAATTTATGATGATTAATTTTCAAGATGAACTCCAATAAAAAATACGTTAGTAGATACTTAAAGAAGGTGAGGGAAGGCAGCTTTCTGAAATGAAAACAAGCAGGTAATGATAAGGCTGCCTTCCCTTTTATATCAGGCTTTTTAATATTTGTACAGTGAGTAAATTGATATTCTGACTGCTGCAGCTGGCAATAACAGCTACTCGTGCAAGTGTAACGTCACATGGAAGTTCCACTTCTTGGATTTGTACTGTTGCTTTCTACTGGCAATGCCACAAAGCAAAGCTGAAGATTTTCTGCCACAACTGATGATTCCCTCAGAGCCATCAAAGTAAAACAGAGCTGAGCCCAGTGAGAAGACAAAAGTAGCTGTGGGTTTCTAGAAAGAAGAACTAACTCAACAAGCTCGTTCATCTTGAGTATTTTCATTAAGACATTTAGAGTATTGTTCAGTAATATGTAAACTGGTGTATTTAAAATAGGTAGTATTGGGCTAAAATATGCCTTGATACCATTTATACTTAGCAAGAAGTCAACCGTACCTGCCAAGTGCTTAAGTTTTATTTGTATTGATTCATGTTTATTTTTGGCTGCAGGGTTCCTTGCTTCACTTCTTCCCATTTCGTTGTGTTTGCACAGATGCCTTGGCAATTGACAGGTGCAGAATAGCTTTATGCACCCATTAGTACAAGGTAGTTGGTGGCAAACATGATTTAATGTAACGATGAAGGAATTATACACTGGGACGGATCCTGGATTACTGTCTGAAGTGCTATTCTATTCAGTTTTGTTGCAGCTTTTAGCAGAACAAGGTCCCTGCTGGTCCCTGTCAGGTCCTTATCCTACTGTGCACAGAGAAAACAAGGTGGATCTGAAGAGCTTAAAGATCTAAATGTAAAATAAGCAATGTGAGGAGGAAAAAAAGTACTAAAACAGATGAAACATATACACGTGTGTATGGTATATTGTGCCTGCTGCCTCTAGTGCACTTCAAAATGGCTTTCATATGCAAGTTGGTTGTTTTGGTCCTCAGTCCTTAACATCAGGATTCAATTACGTCCTCTGAGGTCCCCAAAGAATAACCAACATCATGATGAAACTGCATGCTCATTTCCTCCAGCTAATGCCAATATCTGTACTGGGGGAAAAAAAAATTAATCTGTTCTTTGCAGCTGCTTACAGCTGTGTGTTTTATCAGTAGCCGTGGAAGGGGAATGCCTGTGTTTTGTGCTAGTCTAGAGTGCATGCAGCTTTTCAGATGGAATCAATGCTTTTACAGGGAGTATTTTATCAGCACGTTTGGTAGAGATTGGCATTAATTAGTTTCTTGAAATTAAAATACGTATGGATTTCCAGAAGCAGAAATACACTGGCTGAGATTGTCAAATGACCGTAAGAAATTTGGCTGTGCATCTGTCACTTATGTGCTCTGTTCTCTGTGTTGGAATCCCAGTGCCTACAATATGTGTCAGATTACATACTGTACTTCACTCAACGACTGCATAGCCTATATATGTAATGCTTACTCATGGCAGAGTATTGTGGAGTGTTGTGCAGTGATTCTACATGAACTTATTTACATTTCAGGCCCACTGAGTGCTCTGTCCCTGCTTTGGAATTGCCAATTACAGCATTAGCTGTGTTAGGGGACACTGGCAAACTGGGGTACAAACTGGATCACAGACTTGTTTTGTGCATTGTATGGCTGTTAGCTGGAACAAGGTACAGTCACTACCAAGACAAAGCAGTGAGATTAGTAACCTGTAGGTGAGTGGCTCTAGAATCTCTTGACCATTCATTCTCACCAAACCCAAGATTCTTTCATAATCTTATTTGTTTAAGAGAAGATAATTTTCTGAAAGACTATCATGGTCATGACTAATCAGTAATACTGTGGCATTTACAGTTGGGGGAATTCTTAAGTGTAAATATTCACATAGTGATTCGGATGTCTGTTAGCACCTGGCATGAAATGACCAGAAAAGTGTATTCATTACTTTCAGTAATGATTGGATTGTATCCCTTTTGCAGTTTCTGACGAGTTTAGCTATGAAATAACCTGTATTTATTTACCATCTGAGCTGATAAAGCTGTTTGGGAAGTTAGTTGTGAGAACACTTGGAAGAAAATGTTTCATAAAATGGAGCGCCTACTGAAACTACACTGGTGTGTGCATGGCACGTCTTGCCTTGTGGTGATGCTATCGTGGGATTCTGCCAAGTGCTTGGTCAGGGGGAAGTTCTTTGCAGAGAGAGTGGTGAGGTGCTGACAGCTGCTCAGAGAGGTTGTGGATGCCCCGTCCCTGGAGGTGTTCAAGGCCAGGTTGGATGGGGCCCTGGGCTGCCTGGTCTGGTATTACATGTGGAGGTTGGTGGCCCTGCCTGCGGCGGGGGCTTGGAACTTCATGATCCTTGAGGTTCCTTCCAACCCAGGCCATTCTGTGATTCTGTAGGTTCTGTTTTTCAGATTTAAGAAAGATGCCAAATATGTCCTTTTTATAAAATGAGATGCTGTTTGTGGTCATTGTAATGCAAGCGTGTAACTTGGAAGCACAGAATAGAAGATGCCTTTAAAGTGAGGTTGGTATTTGAAATCAGTTTTCTGAATCCTTTAAAGAAGTGCCCAATTTATGTCAGCCTCAGAGAATAGTGTTTTGACATTTAGAAATGGGCTCTTGACTTATTCTGTTTTTCTAGCTGTGACCTGCATGTCCTGGGTTATGTCAAATCTGGATCTTGAAGCTTGAAGCTGGACTCCATCTGTGCATGCAGAAAATTTGTGTTTAGTACTTTGGTAGCAATACCACTCACACTACAGGATAGTTCCCATCTGTGATGTGAGTAACTGCTATCTATACAGCTGTTAGGTTGTTAAATTAGATTGCATTTGTTAGTTAATAGCATATGAGAAAATATTCAGGTTAGAGTGGTTGTGTGTTACAGACCTTATAAAATCTCCTGATGATAACAAAAATAAAGACTGAAATTACTTGGCTTGTTTTTGGCTGTGTGTTTTTTCTTCGTAATGAAGGCTGTGGCTCATACATGCCTCTGTAGTTGCTAAGATGGACATTTGCACACTTGAAAGCCTTCTGGAGGGATTGTGCCTGCTGAGAAAGCTGTGTAAGTTCAGTGCATGCACTTAGCTGTAATCACTGGAAAAACGAGAAGTGCCAAGGAAACCAAATTCCTGTCCTGTTCTGCCGTGTTGTTGGAGTTTGGACTGGATGGTCTTAGAGGTCTTTTCCAACCTTAATGATTCTGTGTGCTAAGGAATCATTTTTGCAATCAACAATTCAGTCTTCTGGCTTGCTCTTTAACTTCTATCTCAACAAATACGTGTAGACTGATCAAGAGTCAGATTATATGCAAACCCATGATTTGTACTTTCCTGAGAGCATGGATTTCTATGTTGGCCGTTTTACAGTCCAATACCAGGTTGTATTAAATATTAAAAAAAAATGATAATATTTTGAGCAGTAATCAATTTGACTGATCTGAAATGGTCTGGACTTCCATTTTAACATCTAGTGGCGAAGTGGAAAGGCTGTGCAAATGTTTGGTACTCTCATTAACGGGGCAGTATTAAGCCTCGAAAGCCCTCCGGAGCCTTTGTCTCAGTTAGAGCATTCTCTGTGCTGTGAATCTTCCCTAATAGTTGAACCGAATGAACTAAAATAGCCTTTGGGCTATTTTGTTGCACTGTGTTGTTGGGGAAAAAAATGAAAAAAAATAAAAATTAATCCTGTGTCATTTTGCATTTGCTGTCTGCGAATCAAACTGTGAAAACTAATTTAAAAACTTTCACACTTGGCTTGAATGAGGACTGTCAGTGCTTGGAGAATGTTAAACTGAATGCAATTAGTTCAAAGTGGGCAAGCTTAGTATGCCCATCAGCCTCGGAGTGCCCAGCTTTAATGACTGCTCTGAGAAACGAACGCTGAAGTTACAGAAAAGAGTTTAAAGGCATTAAGTTGCTGCTAAAAAAGTGGCCTTTACAGAACAGAGCTTTGATAACAAAGCAGCTTGCACGCTGAGGTTGGGAGGCCCTTTGGAAAGTTAGATAGAACACTGTGCTGCTTTGGTGAAACAACAGATAAACCTGCTTAAAAATTTTAAAGGCTTTTCTCCTTTTTCTTTTCACATCTTCTCCCTCCAACAGCTTTTCATTTTTTTGTTTTCTTCTTTCTTTTTGGAGGAGGTCACCTGCAGAGTTTTATTTTCAGGTGCTGAGCGAGATCTCAGCTCAAGTTGTTCCCTAAGGATTGTAGTAAAGTGACCACCGAATTTCCCAACAGAGCCCCTGATGGTAAATTGAAAAGAACCGAGTCTGCAAATTAGCATTTACGTGCCATCCATTCTTATGTGGGCGACACAAGTTGTGTAGACAAAAGCAATATTTTCAGTTAATGAACCTCACCATAAGCACTGTTCACATTTAACATATTTACAGGGGG